TCTCTCTCTCTCTCTCTCTCTCTCTCTCTCTCTCTCTCTCTCTCTCTTTGCTTAATTCGAGTCGCGAGGGGATGCTAGCAGCTTCCGAAAAGGGAACGTAGTCAGACAATTTCCTCCATCGCGTCAACACTCGCACTTCTCTTGATTTCTGTATGGCACGATGTTCCTTTCGCTGTTGTCACTCGTCGTTTGTCCAGGAATCTCCCCTTATAGAGTTGCTCGACGCGTTTCCGGCACATTGATCTTTTCGGTACGGAGTCGATGACCTTTAGACACCAACGGGTACGAATATTAACTTTCGACTTTTGTTTTTCACGAAAGAATAGACCCCCTTTCTCGACGTGGTCATTGAGGTCGACTCTCTGGTGTTCAAGGGAGGATGCCGAATTAGGAGGGCTGAAACACAGCTTAAAACAGTGACCTTTTGTACGACCTTTCGCGGAAAGATCATTAACGCATTCTCACGTCGGGGAATCGAGACTGACTCTCATTACGGCGGATGCACATGCAAAGAACCACTTTTCGCGGTACACCTAGCTCGTGTGATCTTCCTCCTTTCTTTCTTCCCTCGGCCTTCTTCCGCGTTTTTCTTCCAAAGTCGCCTAAAAGTCATCCATCGCGCGGACCGCTGATACGTCTCGGCGAAAAGGGAAAGCTTGCATATCTCGTCGATCTTCTGTTTTTCTTTCCGTCGAAACGAAAGAAAGCGTTGTAGATTGGACTGGTGCTCGCCCAAGCAGCTTGGAAAACCATGTCCTGGTATGGACGATTATTGCATAATTAAGAGACATTTCTCCCCTCGTCATCGGTTCATCATTTAACTCTCTGGGATTAGGTGGATCTTGTCTTTGGCTTAAGTTTTTATACACGATGGTAAATTAAAGTATGTATTTTACGTATATAATCATGCATTCGTACAGGGTCATGAATATTTTTGTATATTCACATTTCTGATAAATGCATAAATATCTGCGGTGTAATCATGAGTTAGTAAATCACCAATTGTTTTGTTTACTTTCAAACTTTCACCATTGTGAAGAGAAATGGGTGCCGATTCTGGATAGTTTCGCGTTTCGTGTTAATATTTTGACCGAAAATTGTCTAACAAAAAGAAAAAGAAATGTCTCATGTCCCCAGTGTGGTGCAACCCTTTAAGACTTGAAACGTCCCTACCAGTCGTCGCTTGTTTTGAACGACGCCCACTAGAAACCCTCCGTATATCGTGTCACTAGTGTCACTTGCGGTGGGATTCCTGGACCCCCGTAACCGCGGTACGTCCTCGTTTGACGTAAACTCGCGCAAACGGGGCCCTAGAAAATTCCAACCCGTCGAACTTCGTCCGTTGGTCAGCCAGCGCGTGAATCTTTAAACGGACGTTCGATTTCTCCGTTCCAAGCACCGTCGACGGTGTGCGTGCCGTGTTGTACAGACGTAACGTCGAACGAAACCTTAAAACAATAATCGGCCGGATAGGATGCGACGATAATCCTTGTTTCTCGATGCTCGGTGTACCGGTGCCCCTGAGCGGGGTATTAGGCTGACGTAGGTTTCTATAAATGAAATTAATGCGAGGAGAACGTAAACCGCGGTCGCGATCGCCGACGGATTCGACGGCGACTGTTGACGAGGCAGAAAACAGCGCCGACGCCGGCGGAAATTATTTCAAGTGGGAAACACGTTCGCCGGTGCCGCGAGTCAAACACACGCGTCGGGTGAACGACCTTCGGTTGCGAGAATCATTCTAAGACGCTGGCTGCGCGAAGAAGGCCACGATTCATCCGCGACGTTTCTCGGTATTGACCTTTCCACTGCAAAATACGATATACCAACTTCTCCAAAAATCAATTGTGATTCATTATTGAAATTAAGTATAACGCGATCCGTATCAACACTCCCTGCAACTAACGTTTTTTGTTTTAATTTGTTT